ATATTGATAAGTCCATTTTTGTACTTATTTTTCTTATCAAAATTAAGCGATTTTTGATTGAAAATAGAAAGAAAAGGCATGTTTTAGATATTGTGGTTCAAGTTTCATGAAATCAGGTAAAAATCACATTCATAACATCTTTTGCGAAATTTCGGGTCAATTGCGTTAAGAAAGTGGCACTTTTTGCCAACAAATGAATTCCTACGGAAGTTTACAAGATATATTGACCAATTGTTCAATGAAAAGAGTCCAAGTGATGAAGAAATCATCCAAGGAAGTTCAAAACCAAGAAGGAGTCACATATATGGCTACTTTTGATAAAAAAAAATGGGCGATGCATAGAGACACATGTTCGTATTGTGATCATAACTTTGCGCATAATTGTCCAACGTTCGTGATACGAGTTTCATTACATTGATATCTTCCTGATCTACAACTCTTATGAAGAACACAGAGCCAAATAACCACCGTAGAATGGACATATTGCTCAAAGAAGTCAGACATTTGCAGTTGCGATGGAAAGTGACACGTGATCACCGTTTTGACCATATCTCATAAACTACAAATCCAATGAATGTGATTCAAATTCCAGTAGTTAGCCAAGAAAGAGAGATACAACTTTGGTGAAGACAACTTTTCCATTTGACAAAAGGCGATCGATCAGGCGGCCGCCTTTTTGGGCGCCTACGAGTTTTTCGCAGTTTCAGCATGGCGACAAAATAATGGAAGGCTGCCGACGGGGGACGGAGGGCGGCCGCCCTCTGTGGCCGCCTGCGGCGGGATGTGATTTGTGAGCTGCCGGTAGCTGAGACAAGACGGGAGGCGGCCAAAAAGGGCGGCCGCCTACCGTGGACGCCTGCGGCAGATTCAACCCGTGCACGAAGCTTTGTCGGAGAAGTGACCGAAGGCTGCCGGCCATGGCCGGAGGGCGGCCGCCCTTCTGGCCGCCTTCCACAAAACTCCGGCTATAAAATCCCTCTTCCATCCCCAACTCAAAACACACCATCTCAAGCCCAACTCAGATAAAAAAGGGCGTCTTCTTCCTCCTCAAAGCTCGGATTTCCACCATTGTTGCACCTTCAACTTCAATCTTTCATATCTTTCTCATTTTAGCTCCAAATTGTGAGTTCTTTATATGTATTTTCATCCTTTCAATGAGTAGAATCTGAATCTGTACTTAGTTTTTTCTATATGTGCTTCTAAAATTTCCAGAAAATTATTCCACTATTTCGCATTTTCTTCTTAAATTTGAATAAAATAGTTGTTGACATTAAATCCATTCCAATTAATTATATAGTTGTTTACTAGCCTCAAGGTAGTTATTTATCAAAACAAGGTTAATTTTTACGAAGTAGAAGTAAATTTTAATTAATTCCGGCATTTAGTTGTTATTATTGCATAAATTAAATTAAATACTCAAAAAAGGCAAAAAATTAGTTTCTGTCCTAATTCCAGTTTAATTCACAGTAATATCACTCCTAGTAGTCAATATAAAATTTAGAACGAATTTAGAATATTTGTAGTTGCTTTTTTTGTATTTTCTAGTTAATATTGGGAAAATTATCAATTAGTTGTTAAAATTGGATTTTAGGTTATAAAATTCGGGAAAAATTCCAGAAGGTGATATTTTAGTTCTACAAGTTTATTTTGGCAGAATATTATTTTTGTTTAATTTTCTCTATTATACATGCTTAATTCCTTGTTAATGTTGAATTTATTCATTGTATTGTTAAATGAAAAAATGATGTTTATTAGCTAAATTTGTTTTGGGCATGAATTGACTAAAGGAATATGGATTGACTTGTTGACCGAAAATTAGGGATTAAAATTAATAATTTAGACTAATTGTTTGAAATGATGAAATAGTAATTAATAATTGTTAGCTATATTCATTAATTAAATTCTTGGAAAATTATCTCTAACTTGTCTATGAGATTAGAAAATAATTTAAGCCAACCATATTCGAGCACATTAATAAGGCCTAGAAATAGGATAATTTAATGAAAGAGATTTACATCTTGTCTATGAGAGATAAATTCAATTGCTTAAATAATGAGTTTAACTAGTTAATGAATTTGGCTATTTTTATTAATTAAAATATTGGAGAATTATTTCTACCTTGTCTATGAGGTTAGAATTTAATTCAAGCCAACCATTTTGAACACATTAATGACACCTAGAAATAGGATAAATTAATGAAAATAGTTTCTATTCTTGTCTATGAGGAAAGAAATTATTAGTCCAATTTTAGTTTTAATTTCCCTAATTACTAGGTCCAAGAATATATCCATTTCTAATTACTCAATTCATTGCCCTTATTTGCATCAATCCATTTAAGTTTAATATTATATTTTTTCCTTTAGTTTATTTTTGAGCCATCATTAGTATTTGCACAATTTAATTTACTTTCTTTTCCAAAAAGTAGTTTAGAAAATCAATCAAAAGTTTTAATTTGGAAAGCTTCCAATAATTTGCGATAACCTGTGACTGGACTTAAAATCAAGAAGCTCCTCCGCCATTCCTCGAGAGACACGATACTCGGGGAAAAACCGAAAGGTTAGACTCCGTTTTACTACAACGCCGCGAAAGCGGTTATCACATATTGCTCTATCTAGCAAATGGCAGCTCCGGCAACTAGATGTGAATAATGCTTTCCTTCATGGTACACTAACAGAGGAAGTGTATATGACTCAGCCTCCTGGATTTCGTGATCCGCATCATCCTACTTATCTGTGCAAACTCAATAAGGCACTCTATGGACTTAAAGAGGCACCTCATGCCTGGTACCTTGAACTCTCCAGATTTCTTCTCTTAATCTAGAGCCGATGCCTCTTTATTTATTTATTCACATCAAGGTATTCTCATCAATTTTCTTGTATATGTGGATGACATTATCCTTACAGGAAATCAGTCGAGTGCAGTTGAAGCCTTTATCAGACAACTCACCTCACGGTTCTCTGTTAAAGATCTGGGGATGCTGAATCGTTTTCTTGGCATGGAAGTTATTCCACATCCTGATGGCCTATTTTTATCTCAAAGGCAGTACACGTTACATATTCTTGAGACTTGTAACATGCATGAAGCACGTGAGGCACCTACTCCCATGTCATCAAATTCATCTTTACACATTACTGATGGTCATGTTTCTGCCGATGCCAGTCAATATCGTCGTGCTATTGGGCTTTTACAATATTTAGCATTCACTCGTCCTGACATTTCGTTTGCGGTCAACCGGCTTACTCAATTTATGCATGCACCTACGGACGTTCATTGGCAAGGAGTCAAACGCATCCTGCGCTATCTAAAAGGCACACTTGATTTCGGTCTATTTCTCAACCGATTGTCTCCTATGACTATTTCTGTGTTTTCTGATTCTGACTGGGGAGGGGTACATGACGGTGGGAAATCCACCACTGCTTATGTAATATATTTGGGTTCAAATATCATTTCCTGGAAGTCCGCCAAACAGAAGACTGTTTCCAGATCTTCTACAGAGGCGGAATATAGAGCAGTTGCCCATGCTAGTGCGGAACTTCTTTGAATTTGTCATTTGCTATCTGAACTGGGTATTACCTTACAATCTACACCTCAACTTTTTTGTGACAACCAAGGTGCTACATATGTGTGTGTTAATCTGATTTTTCACTCTCGTATGAAGCATCTTGCTCTTGATTATTTTTTTGTTCGTGAACTTGTTGAGCAAGGTAAACTTAGTGTACATCATATTTCTACAAAGTTGCAAATAGCAGACATTCTCACCAAGCCTTTGGGCAAGGAGTTCTTTACTCGTTTCCCGTCCAAGCTAGGAGTTTCCCTTGGAACCTCTATATTGTGGGGGCGTATTAGCACATAATTAATTATATTATTTGTATACTTATCCGAATACATGTATTTAGCATCAGTAGTTGAGAGATCTTATCCCTTTGCTATCTCTCTGGCTGGATACATGTATTTATATACGAATGTAATCTGCAACTCAATCATCAATCAATACATTCTTATTCTCTCATATCTCTTGTAGACTAGACCAAACGGAAGAGCAGTCTAGAGAGTTGCACAGAGAATTATTTATCTATTGGATGCACAGAGAGTTGCACAGAGAATTGTGGGATGGCCTCTATGTTGTCATTAGTTTTGCAATTACTATGTTTTTAAATCAAGCTGAAATATTTTTTTGGCAAAAACTGAATAATCAACATTAACTGTAATAAAGTGAACCAATTAAACTATGGTTTCAACCTTGAAAGATAAAATTGAACCAATTTTCTTTTACTTCAATTCAACGTTTGATTGTGTCAAACTGAAAAGCATTGAAGGAAAGTTCTTTTTATACACGCCTCTCGTACATGTTATCTATTTTGCTGGTGTGCACAAGCAATTCGTCTAAAAATGCAAAGTTTATGAAAGTTGTTTGTGTAAAGAAACAACTTGACCATGTAAATGAGCGTGTATATGCAGGTCATGCGTGCAGCATGCCTGAGTTTGTACAGTACCAAGAACGATTGTTGAATTCCAATCATAGAGCATAAACATTCTCTCTGGTTTAGACAAACGTATTTATATTCTAAATTTACATATTTTGTGTTTACTCGTTTGAAGAGTTGAAGGATGCGCACAAATGGACATATGTACACTCCTTGCATAGTTGATACACAGAATGGTATATTGGTGTTCCATGTTCGTATCTATGGCACCGACACCATTGCTGTTCATTTCCAAACCATCATCTTTTCGCACACAGTCAACTATTGAAGTGCACATTTATTGACTTCAATGTGATTTGAGTTGCATTTTTTTAATTGTGTCAACGATTGTAGCGCACCTTTGTCAACTTCAATGTGATTCGAGTTACATTTTTTTAATTCATTCATAGATTTATATTATAATTTCATCAGTTCTTCAAACATGGATTACTTTGTTCTCTTCATTTCCAAATGTAGCCACCTTTGTCATTGTCATAAGCTTTTTCATTTGAATTTCCTTCCCAGAAGAAACTTGCATGTAATGTGCCTTTTAACCGGAAATGCCTTATTTTCAACAAGAAATTGACCACTACAGTTTTGTCAATTTCAACGTGATCCAGGTACTTTATTTCAATGTGGCAAATAACCGAGCATTTTAAATAAAACAAACTCACCCTCCTTGTGATAAAGACTGATTTTTTCAGTTTGCAAGGCCTTGTTTTAAAAAACTACTTCAACAAGAAATATACATCAATCTTACCAATAGACTCCCTTCATATCTAGCAGGAGGTCCAACCCAAAAACCAAGGAAATGAGGCCTAAATTATTACCTCTCCGGACCTCACCACCCATTGTATAAGAGCTACATACTGCAGGCTACACCTTTATCCAGAACAGATGAGATGCTAAGCAACTGCTAATATATCACATCTTCTTGAGCTCATCATTTTTTGGCTTGTGAAGGGTTCCAAACATCCAATCCATCCATATCGTGTAGTGCCCATAATTATGCCGATATGTGGTATGATGAATTGTGTGATAGGCAGCACCCATTACAGGCCATACTTTGCCATCTATGCAGTCATGAATATTGGCTGTCCATACAGCTTCCAGGAACAATAGCGCAATGTGCGTCCTGAAGTGCATTGGGACCAGGAACAGAGCCACTACGTGTGGCACTGCTTGAAGTATCCCATCCAATGGGTGGAATGCCAAACCTAGTACAAAGACAAAAACAACATGGCCTGGGGTTAAATAAAAAATAACGACGAATAAGAATAATAAATAAAAATGTGACCGTTGATATGTAGTGGTTATTTTTACCACGATGTTCAATTTTACACTAGAATGACCACTATCTAGTAACTATGTAATCATTTTATTGTCGTGACACAGGCAAAACGATAAGAGGCCAAGTACATAGCTAAACCAAATTCTAAGAGCTCAGTTCACAGAATAATTGAGTATACAAAGAGCTCCCCAATCATCTCCGTCATCGCCTTCCATTCCAGCTACAATGAGGACGGTGAAATGTACTTACAGAGTCAATTAATTTTTAAAATTAGTTGAAGGCGTGAAACAAAGACCACAGTGACAAAGTTTCGCACAAGAGATGTCATTCATTTCGAACTTTTTAAAGCTTAAAAAATGAGATAGTATTTCAAAACTGTGAAGGTGAACCATTTTTCCACTTACATAGAATATAATATTGCTATAGCCATCTCGCGTTGCATTACTGATATAGTGATTAAAATTTCTTGGTATATACAACAAGAACAACACTTATCACAGAAGTTTCATTAAAGCCCAAAAAGGTGTAGGAATGGCACACCATAACTAAAACAGCAATTGAATTGGCAGGCGAAGCAAATAAATACTTCCTACGTCCCTTTTATATTAGGACGGAAGAGGGCGACACGATTATTAAGAAAAGTAGGTTTGTGTGGTTGATATTAATTGATAAAGTAAAAATAAAGTAAGAATGATTTAGAGCCACACAAACTTTACCAAATATGGTATGGGACAATTTTAGTGGGATTTCCCGAAAAGGTAAAACGGGACAATACAAGGGGGGCGGAGGGAGTACTACGTAATAATTAATAATTGATAACAAATTTAAAAGATAGAGGGTGAGATGTACCAGCGAAGGGAGAAAGTGTATTTTGCTTGTTGTAAATATGGTGGGTAGCATGAAGGTACTTATAAAGTGGTTTTATGTCATGCAACTCTCTGTGCATCCAATAGATACCAAACTCCACAATCACAAGATAAGCAGTCAGATAGACAAAGTATAGAGGCCATCCCACATCACTTATGTTTGGAACACATCTAGTCCATCCACTTTCAATCATGTATTCAGACACAGACGGGAGAGCAGAATACCAAGGCATAGCCTTCATTGCAACTCCGATTTGTAAGAGCATAGCTTTATTTGATGGGATTGCAGCTGCAAAAAAACATATATATGTCCAAACCAATTACTTTAATTACTAATATTAAAACAAATCAAATGAATTATAAATAAATCAGATTACATCATTCAACTGTGCATACAGCATAGATACATACATATAGACTTATCATTGGACTTTCAACGCATGAGATGATCAAATGTAGAAAAGAGGAATCAAATAAATACGTAGTATATCATAATGAGAGATTTAGACACCTTTAGGGACATAACGGCCGCATTTCAAGTAATAGATGTAGAAGCACCAAAGGAAACCAGACGCAAAATAAAGTAATGTTCCACCAATGTAGTTTCGTAGCCAAGTTTGGAAGAAGTGAGGAAGAGGGCCCCACACTTCTTCTGGCAATACAGCCGCTAGCACAAGGTGGTTGTACCATGACGTCTCATCCGTGAACAATTTCAGGGAGTTGTAGTTATTATCCATCAGCATGCAACAAAGACCGGGCGAGGGGTTTACGAATGGGATTGCAACTGGAGAAATAATAGTACAAATGGCAAATGAGAGTTTTGAAGGCCACGAGGGAGCAGTGGAGTCGAAGTCAAAACATGAAATATTTAATATTCATCAAATAAAAAGTATTGGATCAAAATATAACTTTAGTGCAAGAGTTTCATTAAGACTTGAGAACTAGGTAGTTTACTCGCTACTCGGTAGCTACTCGGTCAAGGGCCGAGTAGCGAGTATGACTGATTACTCGGGATTACTCAGTGATTACTCGGCCTAGTATTAATTAAATATAAAAAATATATTTAAATATAGTAGTCTTAATATAGTAATAAAATTGTCTTTAAATTGTCTTAAAATGTTTAGAAGTGAATAAAAGGATAGAAATTGTCTTAAAACGCATATAATACGTATACAATACCAGAATACAACTTCAAGAAGCACGAGCATTGGAAGAAAAGGCAAATATTTTCTGTAGTTTTTTGGCACCTATTCTTATTCCAATTGAAGAACTTCAAAGTAACTTCAAAGTGGCACCTACCGAACAACTAGTCCTCAAAGGTAGTTCCCTAAATAAAAATTGCAGCTCACCCAAAACAAAACATGATGCTTTTTTGCTAAGCTATATTTTTCACCTTTTCAATTAAGAGATTTTATTTCAGCATTCAGCAACTCAGTTCTCAGGGGTACATTCAATACATTCACTTTAAATGTATTGAAAATGTACAATGAAAACACCGGTTTAAGAAGCACAAGCAAACGAAGAACAATCCAAAATTCTCAGAGTTTATTACAGTATACAGAGAAGAATATAATAGGCAACATGAGGGAGAATAAGAAACAACATAGAGGATAATCTCAATTTAATTTTTTTCCAAGCGGAGGTAATGTTTTTTTTACATACCGAGTACTCCCGAGTAAATCGCCTTTTTGACCCACTGACCTAGTTGGCTAACTCGCCGAGTACTCGGCGAGTAACTCGGAATAATAACTCGGGCCGAGTAATGTGCTACTCTGCAAGGTCATAGGCCGAGTAGGGAGTACTCACTGAGTACTCGCTGAGTACTCGCCGAGTAAATAACCCAGCTTGAGAATAATATTGGATATCCAATTGAACTTTCTTCAGAATCACAATACTCTCTCATGTTACTTGTTAGCCAATTCCTAGTTATATTTTTATCTAGCCATGTTATATTAATGATCAATACTTACAATTTTTAACATTCAATTCAATTGCAAATAGTAATATGTATGTGACTAATGAATTCTATTTATTTTAATTGGCCATTTTTTCTATTGAAGATTAATACTTATACGGAGTAATTCATAATTCAAATGAATTTGAAATAGTATTATTGATAAAAATAAATCAATGCAAATAAAAGTAGTTTACAAGTGTGGACATTAAATTGAATTTATTTATCTTTGACTTGAAAGAAACTAAATATACAAAATAACAAAACATTACAAATCAAGGCCTCAAAAAAGCCTATCAACAATAACAAAATGACAACTGAATTAAATCCTTATATATGGTTTATACATAAAAATTTAATTATTGTTTATTGTCTTTAATAAAAAACACAGGAAAAATGAATTTTGTTGAATTATTTGTAAAACATTAAAGAATCATGCCAAAATTTCTGCAAGTCAAAACTGAAAATTTCATACTTTACCATACTGAAAATATTGGTAAACCAAAATTCGGTATACTGAAATTTCAGTATGACATAAAACTCTTACTGCTACATACAGAAAGTTCAGTATACCCTATTATTATAAACGATTGGTTTATACCTCTATAAAGTGTCATACTGAAAAACATGTATACTGATTCCAATATGCCATAAGTAGTATACAGTAGTAGTATGTACAATGATACCAATATCATTTGTGAAAAACATTTAGACAATTTAAAATACTAAAAAAAAACCTTTTCATAACAGATATTTAAATACTCTGTAACAAACAAGAAATAGTAAAATCATGTCTCAATTGCTCAACATAATCCACATTAAAAAAAACTATAAAACCCAACAGATATTTTTAAGGTGATGTCTGCAGTATACACTAACACAAACAACTGGGAGATTCAAACAATCACACTAAAAAGCAGTATTTGAACCCCTTTTGCAACTCCAAGAGATAGGTAAGAAGAAATAAACTTTAATTCTGCACATTTAGAGTATTTTTTTAAAGGAACTGATATAGTGATTTAAAATAGAAGAAAGCTATTAAGCTAAATACATTAAGAGAAAGCAAGAAAGCTACATTCTAGAAAGATAAATACTAGAGCAGGTAGAGCCATATTAATCATGTAAGAGAAAGCTAGAAAGTTGCATTTTAGAAAGCTAAACTTAAAAGTTCAGGACACGTTTTAATACGGATCTACTTTTGATTAAAAAACAGTAAAACTGCTTAAAATTGTGATTAATAGTAATCGACTGAATGCTTTATTTCAAAAGATAAAACGCAACACTATGAATTGGTCATTTGGATGACTTGTTTACAGTGGAACAACATTTGGCAGGATCTATGTTCAATAGTCAATCAAGACGAAATTATACTATTATTTGCGAAGCATACAGTAGATCCATGATTGGGAGTAAATGGGGATGGTGATGGCATAACCTGACCACAAGATCTCTCACTTGGAGAGACAACCGGCAGGAATAAAAACAGCTTCCACCATACGTTCCTCAAATGACCAAGCCAAAACAGTCTGCATAACATCAAAGTCCTATTTGGCTAAAACTGTTCCCGAAAAAGCGATTACTTTCAGAAAATAAAAATTACAGCACATAGATTAAGGAACCGAACATCTGCTTATATGCAGAGGTAAATGAATTTTAAAATTATTCAGAAGTCCGCAGGGAGGAAAACGTTAGGAAACACATTAACTGATGCATGATCCTTGAGCACAAAGAGGCTCTGTACTTATTATTCTTCTGTCATCCGCAATTAACCTCCTAGGGATTTGATTTTACTTAATTGTGTTATATTAGTGGGATGTAGAGAAGATCGAATGCATTACCTCCTCGGCTCCTCCTCCTCTAGGTTGGGTTGAGTTGAGGACTGCTTTTTGGTTGTGCTTCGTGCCTTGGTGAGAACTGGTTTCGAAGAGGGTCGGTAAGGTGGCAGATGAACAGATCTCGCACGTGGATGGGACCTGGGCGATACTTTAATCATTTATTTCACCCCATTCTCCCAAAAATAACCTTACTAATTGGGTTTACTTAATTGTGTTTTATAATCATCCTTCATTTTCTCCCTCGACGACGATGCTATGTTTCGACCGGCTACTGATATTTGGGTTTTCATTAATCAGTTCAAGAGGATGAAATGATTTTACAAAATGGAAGCTTCGAGTTCCAGCAGCCATTTCACCCTATCTTCTCTTTTACAGTGGCCTGGGCGTTTCAAGTGCTTCGCCGGAGACATCGGCAGCCAGTAACAGAGACTGTGCATGTGGGAGAGTGAGAAACTTCTTTGTCTTCCTCAATCCATTGCCGGGCCAGCTTCTTTTCTCCGCCATGCAATGACTTCTCCCCCTTTAGCATCAGCACCCCAAGAAAGAGGATGATATAACTGTTCAAGGGTTTAACCGTTAAAAGAGAGATTTTTTGAATGAGCCAAATATAGGTTACTCGGTGTGCAAGATAACTCCATTATTTTTTTAAAGGGAAAACTATCAAATAAGCCCCCGTACTATGTCGAAAAAGTCGATTAGGCCCTCGTACTTTACAAACAGTCACTTAAGTCCTCGAACTATTAAAAACGTTCAATTAAGCCCTTTTGGTCAGTAAGTAACCGGTTTCCCATTCTCGAATTGCTAGAATTCATAGTCGTGAGATCAACTCCATTTTCTAAGAGTACGATGAAATTCGCATATCAATCTTATCGCATATCTACGATATCCCATTCTCGATTACTGATTGGGACTGGCATTATGGTATGTCACATAGCTCTTACTTACTTAGTGATAACATAAGTCCAAGTGAGCACAATTATGAATAAAACATTAACAATCGAAACAATCAGTCATAAAGGCGTAATATCGTGTATATCACATATAAAAACTGAATGTGATAGATAGAGTACATATGTCTTTAACAAGTGATCACCGCTAAGACATACAAAGTACTACGTACATACTAACAAGAAGCGTGGCCTGTGTTACAGGGACTGACGTATCATAATGATATCTAGTGATTGGCGATTCCAATGACATAATGTTTCCCAGTGAAAAGAGGAGAGGGTTATCGCAACCATTGTGGCAGATTTAAGGTTTTCGGGAAGCAGTTTGGGCTTGTGGTTCAAGGAATTTTCCTTTTGACAGATATCAATGGACTTGAAAAAGAGGGAGGAGAACATCTAGTTTATTTGGTGAAAAATTAGAACAGGTTTTAGTCGATGAAGATTTGAGATTAGGATTTGGTTACTGGTGACCATTTGATGTTGTTGGTTAAATTGTAGTAAAACCAGCAAGCACACTGAAAAAGACCATTTAGGTTTGAGAATAACTGGATGTGGGAAGAAGAATTGTCATATGATTATACATCGAATTTGGGGAGCAAACGGGGGCGTGCCTATTTTGCACAAAATATGTTCCTGCAGTGCTGAACTAGGTCGTTGGAGTCGGGGAAGAAGACTGGGATTTTCTACCCGAATTAATATTTGCAGGAAGAAGTTGAAGGAACTATGAGGCAGACAACGGGCTAGCTTGGGTTCCTAGAATAACAAGACATTAAGGTATGATACAGAGTTTTCAAGGATCAAAGTACATTGGTTGGGTTCCTTGAACAACAAAATATTTTTTGGAAGCAGAGTCGAAAAAAAATCATAAATCGGTAAAGAAGAAGGAAAAATCATATAGAGGGGTTGAGAGATTCGGATGGTGTTTCGATTATTTTGACACTTTTCTCAACAAGTTCTCCTGTTGTGTTAATATCATGGTAGAGTTGTCGGAGGCTACACGAGTAACACGCGTACAAAAATGCTGATTATTATAGAGGAGGCTAGGGCAAAGCATGAAGAGTACCAGACTCTTAAAGATATTCTCAGACATTATGAAGGTCTCTTGGGACAGCCCCTAATAAATTTTGGCAAATCTAGGGCCTGTTTACTAACAGAGATATTTTCCTGTTTTCTACTTCTTTTTTTCGTTCTCCAATTTTCTGTTTTTATTTTTCAGTTTTTCTATCTCCAATTTTTTGTTTCTATTTTTTAGTTTTCCATTTTCAAATCTGAAAACATGTTCATCAATTTTTTCACCCAGTTCTATGATCATCCAGAAGACTGAGGACACGTTTACTTCACGGGTTACTAAATGGTGCTAGGGTCGGGGTGGGGGTGGTAAGGGGTATGGTCGGGGGGTGAGGTGGTAAGGTCTAGGGGTAGGGGGTTGGGTGGGGGTAGGGGGTGGGTAAGGGTCGTGGTTAGGGGTAAGGGTGGGGTAGTGGGTGTTGGGGTAAGGTAGGGGTAGGGAGTTGGGGTAGGATGGCGGTAGGGTGGGGCCAGGATCAGGGTGGGGCCAGGATCAGGGTGGGGGTAGGATGGTGGTAGTGTGGGGGTACGAGGGTGGGGGTAGGATGGCGGTAGGGTGTAGCCCAGGTAGGGGGCATGTGGTAAGGAGTAAGGTAGGTGTAAGGGGTAATATACGAGGGGTGGGGGTAGGGTAGTGTGGGTCGGGGTGGGGTCGAGGTGGTAGGGGGTGGCGGTAGGGTAGGGTGGATCGGGGTGGGGCCAAGGTAGGGGCATGTGGTAGGGGGTGTGGTAGGGTCATTGTAGGGAAAAGGGGTACGCAGGGTGGGGGTAGGGTGGGTAGGGTAGGGGTAAGGTACGAGAATGGAGGTACCGGAATGAAATCGACATCGGAGCGGGACCGGACCCACCACTAGGGGTAAGTATGCAAATTCATTGCATCGGCACTGTAACATATGCGTTTTCCAAATTTGGAAAACTAGTAAAAGTCACTTCTCCAAATCATTAAGGAAAAGAGAGACATGTCTCATTTTTTCCGTTTTGGAAAACGATTTGGTAAACGCGTTTTTCTTTTTTCCTTTCTCCAGTTTTCCAGGAATTTCTTTGGTAAACATGTTTCCTGTTTTTTGTTTTCCAGTTTTCCAGTTTTCTGAAAAACTGGAAAATATCTCTGTTAGTAAACAAGCCCATAGTGTCTCATTTATTGCTAATGTTTACAATGATACACGGAATGATTTATGTGCACTACTGGGGTTAATCAAGACGTGTTCACGAGACAATATTTTTATTTGGCCGCGTTAGTAGGTTTTGTGTGCCTCAAAATCTTGTGGAGCTTTAGGGCCTGTTTACTAACAGAGATATTTTCCAGTTTTCCAGAAAACTGGAAAACTGGAAAACAGAAAACAGGAAACATGTTTACCAAAGAAATTCCTGGAAAACTGGAGAAAGGAAAAAAGAAATTCCAACATGGTCGGTTGGAAACTAATAATCCAACCTTTTAGCGGTCTTCTTTCAATAATCCCACCTTTTGATTATTCATGAATAATCCAACCTTTGCACCTCATCTTCATTCATTGGTCCCTGGTCGGTTAATGACCTACTATTCCAAGTTATTTTCTTATCTTTCCAAAATATTATCTTTGTGAAAGATGAGATTTATGGTATAATGATTTGCAAAGATAAGAAAATAGCTTGGAATAGCAGGTCATCAACCGGTCAGGGACCAGTGAATGAAGATGAGGTGCAAAGGTTGGATTATTCATGAATAATCAAAAGGTGGGATTATTGAAAGAAGACCGCTAAAAGGTTGGATTATTAGTTTCTATTTTCCCAATCGTTTTCCAAAACGGAAAAAATGAGACATGTCTCTCTTTTCCTTAATGATTTGGAGAAGTGACTTTTACTAGTTTTCCAAATTTGGAAAACGCAGATGTTACAGTGCCGCTGCAATGAATTTGCATACTTAAACCTAGTGGTGGATCCGGTCCCGCTCCGATGTCGATTCCATTCCGGTACCTCCATCCTCGTACCTTACCCCTACCCTACCCTACCTTACCCACCCAACCCGCATACCCATTTTTCCCTATAATGACCCTACCCCACCCCATCCCTATAATGACCCTACCCATTTCAACCCGCGAACTGGATTGGACGGATAACAGCTTAGAAAGTTAGAAATATTATTTCCCCTCAAAAGTTGAGTTATTTTTTGGCAGCTTGCAACTGGCTTATTACCTACCGCTGATATTTTGATATTCATGTATGTTCATGGTGTTAGTGCCATCTCAAAACTGGAGAATGAAATAACATTCCATTTGTTTCTGAAACATAGATACATAAATCGCTACAAGACCCACGATCTACGTACCGAACGTTTCGTACCGAAACGCGGTACGAACGTGATCCCATCGCCCTCCGGAACGCTACGCGGTACGCTTTTGGAGTCGTTCCCAATCGCTTTACAGAGTCGAACCCAATCGTTGATGAAAACGACCCCAATCGATGCTCGAAGCGATTATAATCGTCGTTTCCCTTCGTCGCACAGCTTCAAAACGTCGTTCCCCATAGTTTCCCAGATTTCAATCGTCACTTCCCCCATATTTCAAATTAAGGTTTGGACTGCGTTTCGTTTCCTGTTTGTAAACCGCATACGAAGTGTTATTATCGAACCACGCTCCTGGACTCCTAGTATTCTGATCCTAGTCATCAATTTTACTCTCTAATAATTGTTATAAATTGAGGAAAAATGAGAAGGTACATAAGCATATTTTTTGGTCTCCTTGTTGCGTGCATACTTTGAATTTAATTTTCAAAGACATGGCAAAAGAACTCCAATGGTTACAAAATACGTATAGAAGAGGCAAGGCAATTGTCAAGTATTTTATTAATCATACCCATGCTTTAGCTATCTTTCGTGAAAACTCAAGGTTGGAGTTATTAAAGGTTGCAAAAACCCGGTTTGCATCCCATTACATTTTGTTAAAAAGGGTGATGGATTGTAGGGAGGCTCTTGCCTCAACTATTTTTTGCAATTCTTGGAGGGAATGGGTGAGAAATGGAGATGAAAATGCAAGAGTTAATGGGGCTAATGTAGCTGAAACAATTAAGAGTGATGATTTTTGGGATGATGTGAGGAATGTTTTGAGTATTACAAAGCCTATTTTTCTACTTATAAAATTTTGTGATGGTGATGGCCCAAAAATGGGTGAAATATATGAAAGGATGGATAATATGTTGGGGGAAATAAAAGACATCATGGTGGATAATGTATATTCTTGCTATTACCCGGATATTGAGAAAATAGTTGTGGCTAGATGGGAGAAGATGACAATCCCACTTCACTGTTTGGGGTTTGCATTAAACCCTAGGTTTTATGATAAATTCTGTCTTCAAAAACTGGCTCCGGGTGGTATTGCAAGAAAAGCACCGAATCAAGATAAAGAGGTTGTAGTTGGTGTTATGGAAGCTTTCAAGAGAATTGCAGAAAGTCCAGAAGAGGAAAAGCTATTACGAGAACAATTTGCTACTTTCCATATGAAGAAGGGGATCTATTCAATGGTGGCAACACAAGCGGATTCCGTGACAATGGATGCAATTGATTGGTGGTCAACCTAT